CTGCCGGGCCAGCCGCAGGCACCGGGCCGTGCCGGTGCCGCTGGGGCGCCCAGGGGAGCCGGGCTGGGCGGCTGCGAGGCTGGGAGAACTCCTTGAAGTCTCACGGGGGTTATCCCTTCAAGGTGTTGCCTCTTAAAGGCTACTTTGGCTTCCTTGAGCAGCCGGCATCCCCGCTGCTGGCGGCCAGGTCGGAGCAGTGTGACGCTGGGATGCGCAGCTGGATCCAGCTGTGGTCCCATCCCAGCCGTGCGCCCCGTGGGTGGGAAGCCGCTCACCTGCGCTGACCCGGCTGCCCGATCCCTGATGAGTAACTGCTCTTCCCCTGTCTCTCCCTGCCGTGCAGCGTGTTTTGGGACCTGTACTGCGCAGCTCCCGAAAGGCGAGACACTTGTGAACATTCGAGTGAAGCCAAAGCCTTTCATGACTACGTGAGTAACAAGTTTCTGATCCTCGCGGTAATTACGGCGTTGGGGAGCTCCGGCGCACCGAGAGCCAACCTAACGTAACCAACTGGCAAAAAGCGTGGGGTTTTTTTAACCAGCAATGTTCTGATTTGACTGAACTGTATTTCATAATGTTGCAATTATGTAAATGAGCTCAGATACTTATCTTAAGCACTTAAAGGCATTCGGGCTAGTGGTAGAATTAAGAAGTTTTGCATAGCAATGGACAACAAAGATTTTATAGGGGGTCGGTGGTGAGATATTTCATGTTGAGGACATTGAGATGGTGAGATGTTTCATGCTGAGGACACCTCCAAGGGTGGGCGGGAGTTGGATTTTGGTGGGGAGGAGAAGGGGGAATTCCCCAAACCACTGCTGAATGCCCCAGTTAGTATCTTCTTGCCTTTGGGAAGGCTGAGGGCTTCCTTGGATTCCTGAGTCCTCCCTTGATCCCAGCAAGGGAGAAGTGTTGTTTTGCTGAAGCCAGTGTTGCAGACCCCCGTTGGTCGGTCGTTGCGTGCCTTGGCTCTCCATGGTTTGGGTTGCTCTCCGCAGAGGTGGCAGCATGACCCAGGGATGGATGGTGCTTCTGGGGTGGCATGCTTGATTCTGAGGTGTCTCCTAGAGAACCCCTCTTGGCAAGGGTGCATGGCATGTCTGCCCAAGTGGGTGACGGGTGGGCTGCCCGCTCCTGTCCCGCACGCGGTGCCCGTTTCCGCAGCGTTGGGAGGAATTTGCATCAAAGGATTAGTCACCTGGCTGCGGGCTTGGACCCCAGTCAAGTGCATTTAAACCTTGTAGCAGGAGCTGGTTTTGTCTGCTCCGGGGAGACTATGGCATGGAAACCATTTTTCCTCCCTTCCCAAGTTTCTCGTTGCCTCAACATGCCACGCTTGGGATGTGTGAGGGTTTGCTGGCGAGCAGCGCTGGGTGAGTGTCTCGAGGACCTCCACGGCCTCTCACACGCCGTGTCCTCTCACACGCTGGACACAGCGGTCGCCCTGGGGCACGGGCAGTGACCAAGAGGCTTGGCTGAGTGCTGAGCTGCCTCTTGTCTCTTCCCACCCTACTGGGTCATGGGAGAACTGTGTCTGGGTATTTGCTAGGTAGAGTTTGTCTGTCCATCCCTGCGGCCACTGTCTGCATTGCTTGTTTTCACTGGGTCGGATTAGGATGGTGAACTCCTGAACCAAGGGTCAGAGCTGACAACCAGCAGCATGTCTACAAGTTGTTGGCTTCTGCTCGCTTTCTGGATGTTTTGGGGCAAATTGTGGGGATTTTGGGAGCCCAGATAGGACAGCAGGTTCATCAGGAGCAAGGCAAAGGTAGATCTTAGGGCAGCAGAGCCACAGGTGAAGATGACATTAGCAAGCAAGACATAGTGATGCTCCATCCACAGCAGCTTCCTCGTCATGTCTGAGGATTTAGTGTATTTAGAGAAATTAATCTTTTTTTAGCTTGGTAATAATTCTAACAATAGGCCTGAGTGCATTAGATGATTCGCATAAACTTCTTTAATACACGTTGCTTTAAGCTTACAGTAAATAGACACAATCCTGATTGTTTTTAATTCTCGGTGTAACGCAGTTTTGTAACAGCCCCAAGTGCTTTACGTTCTGGGTAACTCCTAAGAAGATTTTCATTCCCCTGTGCTTTGGCTTGGTGGCACTGGGCTGGTTTCCCCAGGCATGTTTTGGCCCCAAGACAGGGCTCGTGCTTCTCTGTGGCGTGGCTGGTGACGGATGCTCACGGTACAGTCCCTCTCTGCCGAGTGCTTTCCTGGCACAGCGTGTACTTTACAGGGCGAGGGACCTACCTGGCCAAAACTTAAATATTGACCAAAGAACCAAACGATAACCGTGGGAGTGTGAATGGAGCCTTGTTTCTCTCCAGCTTCCGGGGCAGCCTGCTGGTACCGGTGAGATCGGTGGGCATTGTCAAACACCAAACCCAGCGACCCATCAGTGGTGCATGGCAGCTAAAACAGGATGTGAGCCCCAAATGGGGCTGGATCAGTGAGTCATGAATTGCTTTGTGTGGTGGTTGTGGTTAAAAATATCCCAGTCTTAAGTCTTGCCCCAGGTTGGTAGAACATTGTATTTACACTTGGCCAGCAACGGGCAAACCCTGTGTGTCCTGCTTGGTGTTTGCCCAAAATACGGTGTGTGTTAACCCAGAGGCTGTGCTACTGTAAGGACAGAAGGAGGGGATGCTTTGGGAGCTTGGCATGTCACCTTCCAGAGCCAGCACCAGAGGGTTTCTTGCCTGGGAGACAAATCTTTGGGAAGGAGGAGCAGTTCCCCTCATTAACAGGGTGCTAACGGTGGGATTTGCATGATGTGTCATTTCCACTTCATTTTCCAGCTTCACTGTATGAAAACTATTAGGAGCAGCAGGACAAATTGCCAATTCCCCTCTCCAGTCTTGAGTATTTAAATCTTCATCCAGAAATTAAAGTAAGGAGAAATCCCACTGCTCTTTTTTTTGAGGGGACCCTTGAAAATTGTGGGGTCTTGTGAGCTCTTAGAAATACTTTTTACCTTTCCCCTAAAGTTTTTCTCCCAAGCTGGTACAAAAGCCTGCTGGGACTTTGTAGAAAGGTACTTGTTGGGAGAAGAATGATGGGTGTAGGTATTGACCTGGCACAGGCAGGAGGAATGCTGCTCTGCTCAACTCTTCCATCTCTGGCAGGTCTGTCTGTGTTCACACAGCTATCGAGTTGTGTTGGTTGGAGGGTTGTTAGTCATCCTCTTCCACCTGTACCCAAAGAGTTTATCCAAGGTAACAGCCCCATGAGCACTCACCAACTCCTAAAACTCAACCCGTAGCCACTGATTTTGGGCTCCTCCAAGCCCCATGGCGAGCACGCCACGTTCCGGCACGCTCCTGGAGCTGGCGGGCTTGCAACGGGATCGCTCGTCATGACAGGGGATTTCAGCCGCCGCGTTATCTGGGAATTGGCTGATGGCTGGTCGCAGTTGAGCATTTCAACGCCGTGAAAGCCAATACAATTTGAGTTAGCGGTGATGACTGCCAGTTTAAATACCGCAGTGAATTTCTGTCAAAGAGCTAATACATAGAAAGGGGAATTGCAGAAAACTTGATCACCAGAACCACTTCAGTCGATTTTGGCCTCAAGCTACAGAAAATGAACTTAAATCTAGTTGACTGTTGCTGCGTACTTTTTTGTGGTATTACTCTGTCTGCACAGCCAGCTCATGTCAACATGCAGGAGAGAAAACTCAGGGTAGCCTTTAGGTGATGAAGACTTTGACTTGATCATTGCCTTCCTCTGTTGCCCCCAGCTTCCTCATGAGAAGAGCCTGTACTTGGAAGCGTTTGGGAGCTTCCTTTGCAGCACAAGAACTGCGGAGCTGTGGCTTCAACTTGCCATTAACACAAAGCATTGATTTATTTGTTTTTGTTTTTAACTTTGGAAAGCTGCTGCAGTTCTTTCTAACTTGGATCTGGAAGGATGCTCTGCAGCAGCAGAGGTGGTTGCTGCTGGAAGTGCAGTGGTTGGTTTGGGAAGAGATGGTGTGTTTGGGGCTCCCGTCTTCCTGTCTTGGTTGGGGACAACCAGGGGTCCTTCTTCTTCTGAAACAGTTCCCCTTAGATTGAGATCTTGGGGATTTCTGAAGCATGGATGGATGGATGGATGGATGGATGGATGGATGGATGATTAAGGCATGCTGAAGTTAGTGTGCTCAGTGGGAACAAAGTGAAGCCCAAGAGGCTGGAAGGCCTTCAGCCTGCTGGCTGTACAGACTGGAGGTGTCCTAGGGATGGTTCTTTTATGCTGAATCTGCCAATCACACCCCATCCAGGTGTGGGACAGGCACCTCATCCCAGTGTCAGTGCCTGGGTGTTCTTGGGCTGCGGGGGAGCACCATCTGCTCCCTGGGGTCTGTGTGGCCAGCTCATGGCATGGTGCCCTGGCAGGTGACATGGCCTTGTGGGACCTCTGGGAAGGGATGCTCTTTGTGGATGAAGGGTTTGGTGTGACTGTGTCCTCTCCCATGCCAGGCTCTCTTCTTGTTCCAGGACCAGTGAAGGTTGCAAGACCTTGTTCAAGGCACCCATGGCTGTGAGGGTGGGAGCAGCAGGTGTGAGAGTGCTGATCCATGAGTACCCCTGTGGTGGTGCTCCATGGGAGCTTCTCCTGTTGTGTGCAGCCAGTGCATTGAAAACATCTTGTGTAGAAGAGGTGTTTCTGGGGCAGGTTTAGTGCAGCAAAGGGCCAGGGGTTGGGAACAGCTTTGTGTGGTCTCTGTGAGCCCCCTCAGGCATTGCCTGAGCCCTGGGCACGTGGCTCAGCAGTGGCACACAGGGCTCTGTCCTGTTTCCATGTGGGACTGCGCTCCATCTGGGCTTCATCCAGCTCCACTCTGCAGGGACAAGGTTCCCTGGTAGGTAACCAGAGAGAGGAGTTTCCTTCAGGAGTGGCAGGCTGCCAGGAGCAGCTGCAAAACTCCACATCACTTCAAAAAAAAAAAAAAAAATTGCAACAAAAATAAATAAATCCAGATATTCCCTCTCCTGGCAACGCTGAGCTCGGCCTTCCCTCCCAGTTTAGGGTACTGGTGAGCCTGGGTGTTCTTTAAAGCCTGCTCTTGCTGGAGTACCATGCAAGGATGGATTAGTTTAATGTTATATTTTAAACAAATGACAGAGCAACCTCTGCTGCCACACTTCTGCTGTCCAGCAGCAGGACCAGGCCATTTCAGAGCAGCACCTTTCCACGGGTGATGCTCATGGAGAAGGCTCCATTGTGAAACCGGAGGTCAGAGCCCAAAGCTTATGTCTTAGTCTTTGACTGGGGAGCCTAAATATTTATCCTGTTCTGTCCCTAATGAAAACAAATTGTCAACAGTTGTTCAGTAACTGACTAAATTAAAATCTGTAATTAGTCAATTAGATTAAAGAGTTGGCACAACCTGATTGTATCATGCTGGTTAGGTTATTAAGAGAAAGGGTGTGATTTT